ACAATCATCTTCATCAAAATAAAAACTATATCTTGAATATTGCATTTGACATGTTTTTTTAATTAATTCTTACACGCTTAGTTATCCTTATTTTATGTAATTTTATAGAGATTGTTTGTTTGTACTTGGGTACCTGTTGGTACCTAGGTACCTGTTGAATTTTTTCAGAAAATAGGTACCAAGGACTGCACCAAGCACCTCCAGGCGGTGTGGAACTACCCGGTGGGATCAGATAGAGTGTGGAAGGGTAAATGCGCCGTGAATAAGGCTGCCCTCCGGTAAAAGGTGATAAGGTAGTAGACAAGGAGAGTTCAAATACTCTCTGAAGTTGTGGCGGACTATTTCTGACTAAAAGGTGTGATAATATTTCTGAGGACTTTTTCTAAGGACTATAAAATAAGGACTATAAGCTAACTATGTTGACCAGGATGAGCACGTCAGGGAACTGATGAGGCAACAAATGATGAGGGGAAGCATGGCTCCTTATATACAAAATCTGGGGAGTGGCCACCTTGTGGTTTGAGAAAAGGGAACAAGTGAAAAATATCAAACTGAAACACTACGGCCCAGAAGGTGGCTGCTAAGACTAAAGAGGACACAATGACATAGCCTGCTTACCCAAAAGGGTACATAAGTCTGAAACACGCATAGCCACATGCAGGCGCATGCATAGAGGTAAGATACTAATCCCCAAGTGGGTGCATTAGTGTGAAACAGAGAGATAAGAGAAAGAGGAGTGCATATGCAGCAGCTCCAGAAAGAGAAAACAAGGAGGGTTCCTAATACCCTGGCTCTATCTGAGGGGTGACTTTCTTCCCCCCACGTGTGGTCTGGGTGCCTTGAGGCTGCTGTCTGGCCCGAGGACCAAGGTGTTTGGGGTCTTCTTGTCCTGATTGTGCGGTGCATTGAGGCCTTGAGGTTTTGATTTGGCTCACCACAGCGGGTACCGGCAGTACTTTTGGCAGGTACCACGGGTACCTCCCCTCTCTTTTTCACTTAGTTCTACTAGCTATCTCAACATTACTTCATATCCTGTACTAGATACGTGGTAAAATGAAACTGGATGTGCTGTTTGTTTTTTAATTCTTTACACTATTTTAACAAAAAAAGGAAAAAATATTGCATATCCAGTTTTTTTACTGCATATCCAGTGCTGGATATGAAGTACTGTTGAAAGTGATATTGACTATAGTCAATTTCTTCAATTTTTTCATATTTATCATTTTAGGGAAGTGGGGTGGTACCCGCGGTACCTCCTCTTTTTTCCCCCAAAAACAGACACATGGCACCGCACCTGGCACCTCCTGGCAGGTGCGCGGTGGGTGCGGGCGGTACCCCCCAAACAGTACTAGGTACCTAGCAAAGGGTACCACGGAACAATCTGTAGAATTTTATATCCATTTCCTAAATTTTGAAAGGTTTTAAAATTGATGGCTGTATTGATTTTGAATTCAAATAAAATTTGTATACAGTACAAATTATGCAAGAAATGGGGTACACTCAGGTGTTAAGATTGAAGCTTTGATTTTTAGGGAAATTGGACTTCACCATTAAATTCTACACATTTTTAAATGTAGGAAATGAACTTAAATTTCAAAAAATGATTAAAATTAGGGCGTTTATAAAAACACGCGGTAAATCCACGTTTACACGCGGTTTCTGCTGCGGCGGATTCCGCGTGTACACGCGGTTTTTTATTTAATTTTGTACCACTAATTTTTCGAGTTTTTTGGATTTTTAAAATTGTTTCCTATGTTTTAAAGTGTGTAGAATTTGATGGTAAAAACCATTTTTCATAAAAATGACTTTTGATTATTAATTTTTTTTTCCACTCATCTTTCAAGGGCCTTAATAAAAAAACGTGGTTTTTCCGCGTTTTGACGCGGTTTTGATGCGCCGCAGCACACGCGGTTTCCGCATTTAGACGCGGTTTTTTAATTAATTTTTTAGGGCCTTAATAAAAAAACGCGGTTTTTCCGCGTTTTGACGCGGTTTTGGCTGCGCGCAGCACACGCGGATTCCGCGTTTGCACGCGGTTTTTTATTTAATTTTTTACCGCTTATTTTTCAAGTTTTTTTGAATTTTTAAAATTTTTTCCTATGTTTTAAAGCGTGTAGAATTTAATGGTAAAAACCATTTGTCATAAAAATGACTTTTGATTATTAATTTTTTTTTCCACTCATTTTTCAATTATTTGTTTGCATGCATGTATGTACCTTATTTTTTATGTTTTTTGGAAATTTTAAATTTATTTCCTAGGTTTCACTGTGCGTAGAATTTAATGGTGTACTCCAAATTGTTTAAAACTCAACGGTTAATTTTCAATACTGAAATTAGACACATTTTTTCACTTAAATTTCTACAGGTTAATTTTCATTCTTTTTTGACATTTTAAATTTTTTTCCTACACTTTAATACATGCAAAAAATGATGGTAACAATCATTTTGCATCAAAATGAAAACTACATCTTGAATACTGCATTTGACACCGTTTTTTTATTTAATTCTTCACTTTTTCACTCAATTGTTTGCATTAATTATTCTAGCTTATTTTTTATGCTTTTTTGAAATTTCAAAGTTTTTTCCTACATTTAGAAGTGTTTAGAATTTAATGGTAACCTTCAATTTGCATAAAACTCAACAGTTCATTCAGAATACTGTAATTAGTCATATTTTTCAATTGATTTTTGAGAGCTTAATTTTAATTATTTTTTTACATTCTAAATTTGTTTCCCACACTTTGAGACATGTTCAAAATGATGGTAACAATCACTTTGCATAAAAATGAAAACTATATCTTGAATACAAATATAAATTCAAAAATTCAAAAATGACTTCAATGGGGCTTGAACCTGTGACAGCGCTTGGAAGTACAAGTATTCCCAAAGTGGTAGCTTTATACCAAGTTTTATTTATAAACTAGTTGGCTGGCATCACCTCGTTGGATAGTGTCGTGGTGTCCAGGCTGATCATAATCTTGACTAGAGTCTGCCTTGTGCATGGGAATCTGGAGAAATGATTGGTGTATCCCTTTCCGATGATTGGGAGTGTTCTTTTTTGGAGTTTTTGAATTTTTGGGAGACATTTGAATCAAATTCTCTTTTTATTGTATTAAAACCTAGGAAATAAAGAACTACATAAAAAAACGGTGTCAAATGCAGTATATAAGATGTAGTTTTCATTTTGATGCAAAATGATTGTTACCATCATTTTTTGCATTTATTAAAGTGTAGGAAAAAAAATCAAAATGTCAAAAAAGAATGAAAATTAACCTGTAGAAATTTAAGTGAAAAAATGTGTCTAATTTCAGTATTGAAAATTAACCGTTGAGTTTTAAACAATTTGGAGTACACCATTAAATTCTACGCACAGTGAAACCTAGGAAATAAATTTAAAATTTCCAAAAAACATAAAAAATAAGGTACATACATGCATGCAAACAAATAATTGAAAAATGAGTGGAAAAAAAAAATTAATAATCAAAAGTCATTTTTATGACAAATGGTTTTTACCATTAAATTCTACACGCTTTAAAACATAGGAAACAATTTTAAAAATTCAAAAAAACTCGAAAAATAAGCGGTAAAAAATTAAATAAAAAACCGAGTGCAAACGCGGAAACCGCGTGTGCTGCGGCGCATCAAAACCGCGTCAAAACGCGGAAAAACCGCGTTTTTTTATTAATGCCCATTTTTTACGGCTTATTTTTCGAGTTTTTTCGGAATTTTAAAATTTATTCCTACACTATGAAAGGTGTAGAATTTAATGGTAAAAACCATTTTCCATAAAAATGAGTTTTAGTTATTAATTTTTTTTTCCACTCATTTTTTCCATTAATTGTATACATACATGTTTTTAACTTATTTTTTACGCTTTTTTGAAATTTTAAATTTATTTCCTAGGTTTCAATACGTGCAGAATACAATGGTGTAAACCAAATTTTTCAAAACTCAACAGTTCATTTTTAATACTGAAGTTTGACATTTGTTTCACTTAATTTTTTACAGCTTAATTTTCATTATTTTTTGACATTTTAAATTTATTTCCCACACTTTAAGACATGTTTAAAATGATGGTAACAACCATTTTACATAAAAATCAGCCCTTGTTACTGAATACTGTGTTGGACATGTTTTTTTTTAATGTTTTTTTGATTGATTTTTACCGGCTTAATTTTGATCATTTTTTGAAATTTGAAATTTATTTCCTACATTTATTAATGTGTATAAGTTAATGGTGAAGTCCAATTTCTCTCAAACTCAAAGCTTCAATTAAAATACATGAGCGTACCCCGTTTCTTGCATAATTTGTACCGTATACAAATTTTATTTGAATGCAAAATGGATACAGCCATCAATTTTAAAACCTTTCAAATTGTAGGAAATGAGCTTAGAATTCCAAAAAATAAGGAATATTAAGCGTGTAAGAATTAATTAAAAAAACACCTCAAAGGCATTATTCAAGATACAGTTTTTATTTTGATGCAAATTGATTGATTCCATCATTTTTAAAATGTCTGAAAGTGTAGGAAACAAATTTAAAATGTCAAAAAATAATGAAAATTAAGCTCTTAAAAATCAATTGAAAAATATGACTAATTACAGTATTCAGAATGAACCGTTGAGTTTTATGGAAATTGAATGTTACCATTAAGCTTTACACACTTTTAAATGTAGGAAACAACTTTAAAATTTCAAAAAAGCATAAAAAATAAGGTACACACATGTATGCAAACAATTAAGTGAAAAAGTGAAGAATTAATTAAGGGTCTTAGCTAATCGACTCCCAGAAAGTGGAGGATCGACTCCCAAACCCCGAAACCCCCGGAATTTCCACCGAAATCCCCGAGGAATGGGAGTCGATCCCCCAAACCCGTCAGAGGGTTTGGGAGTCGACAGACCAATAATTTTAATAAAAAAAATACAAAAAAAGAGCCAACCCCCGAAGGAGTTGGGGGTCGATGCCCCAAAACCCACTGGGTTTTGGGTGTCGCTTACCAAATGGAGCCTGCGACGGCCGGGACGATTCCTCCCCGGCCGCTGATGGCATACCCTCATCGGCCGAGAGAAACACTCTCGGCCGCTGAGAGTGTACACTCTCATTGGCCGGGAGAAACACTCTCGGCCGCTGAGAGTGTACACTCTCAACGGCCGAGAGAGAAGAAGAAGAAGCGCAAAGATATAGGTCCGGAAATACGATGCTATCCACCGTCAAGTTCCTCAGAAGAAAGATCCCATACCCATTTGAATTTCGCGCTCCCAGCTGTCAACCATTGTCCTTTCGCTCCTATTCCAGCTCCGCATCTTGCAGTCACTCCACTCAAAACAGTTCAGCCAGCTCTTCCAATTCACAATCAACCATCTCTTTTTCAAACCAGTCTTACGCCAATCGAATCCATAAACCCCCTTCGACGTACGGTCGATGCGACCCTCGATTCGGCTGCTGAGAAGGATGAGAAACAACACACTACTTGCATGTTTGTACACGGCCGAGAGCTCTCATCGGCCGAGAGTGTACAACCCTCAACGACCGAGAGAAACTGAGGGTTGTACACTCTCGGTAGTTGAGGGTGTACACCGTCAATGACCGAGAGAATCACCTTGGCCTCTGAGAGTGTACACTCTCAACGGCCGAGAGAAACACTCTCGGTTGTTGAGGGTGTACACTCTCATTGATCCTAGAGTGTACCTCCCGGCCAACGAGAGTGTACACTCTCAAAGGCCGATAGAAACTGTCTCGATTGTGGAGGGTGTACACTCTCATTGAGCCGAGAGTGTTTTTCCCGGCCAACGAGAGTGTACACTCTCATAGGCCGAGAGTGTGTCTCTCGGCCGATGAGAGTGTACACTCTCAGCGGCCGAGAGTGTGTCTCTCGGCCGATGAGAGTGTGCCATCAGCGGCCGGGAGGATTCAGCGGCCGGGAGGAATCCTCCCGGCCGTCGCAGGCTCTATTTGGTAAGCGACACCCAAAACCCAGTGGGTTTTGGGGCATCGACCCCCAACTCCTTTGGGGGTTGGCTCTTTTTTTGTATTTTTTTTATTAAAATTATTGGTCTGTCGACTCCCAAACCCTCTGACGGGTTTGGGGGATCGACTCCCATTCCTCGGGGATTTCGGTGGAAATTCCGGGGGTTTCGGGGTTTGGGAGTCGATCCTAGGTATGTTGGAACCTGTAGAATTGCTGTATTCTTCCAAAGATTCCAACTGCAGTCGGGATTTTTTTTTCTGAATCTTCTGCCAACCAAGACGCAAGATTTCTTGGTTTGGCTGTATTTTTTGAGTTTTTCAAAATTTTAAATTTGTTTGCAAGGTTATAATTTGCCTAGAATTTAATGATAAAATCCATTTTCCATAAAAATGACTTTGAATTATTATTTTTTTTTCAATCATTTGTTCAATTAATTGTTTGCATTAATGTTTTTACCTTATTTTTTATGTTTTTTTGAAATTTTATTTTTAATTCCTGGGTTTTAATGTGCTTAGAATTTAATGGTATAATTGAATTTCCAAAAAAATCAACATTTCATTTTTAATACTGAAATTTGACATTTTTCTCAACTAACTCTTTACAAGTTATTCCTCAATATTTTTTGACATTTTAAATTTATTTCCCACACTTTGAGACATGGTTAAGATGATGGTAACAATCATTTCACATAAAAACCAAATAATTTTATTGAATATTGCGTTGGACAGGTTTTTTTAGGGCCTTAATAAAAAGACATGGTTTTTCTGTGTTTACACGCGGTTTTGCTGTGGCACAGCACCCGCGGTTTCCGCGTTTAAACACAGTTTTGTAATTAAATTTTTATGGGTTATTTTTTGAGTTTTTATTTTTTTTATTTTTAAAGTTGTTTCCTACACTTTCAAAGGTGTAGAATTTAATGGTAGAAACCATTTTGCATCAAAATGAATTTTAATTATCAATTATTTTTTTTCACTCATTTCTCAATTAATTGTTTCCAAACATGTTTGTACCTTATTTTTTATGCTTTTTTGAAATTTTAAAATTATTTCCTAGGTTTCAATGTGCGTAGAATTTAATGGTGCAATCCAATTTTTTAAAAACTCAACGGTTCATTTTTAAAACTGAAATTAGACCCATTTTTTGACTTAATTGTTTACAGCCTCATTTTCATCATTTTTTGACATTTTAAATTTATTTCCTACACTTTAAGGCATGTGTAAAATTATGGTAACAACCATTTTTCCCCAAATTGAAAACTATAACTTGAATGCTGCATTTGACATGTTTTTTTAATTAATTCATCACTTTTTCACCTAATTGTTTGCATACATGTGTGTATCTTATTTTTTAAGCTTTTTTGAAGTTTTAAAGTTTCTTCCTACATTTAAAAGTGTTTAGAATTTAATGGTAACATCCAATTTTCTTAAAACTCAACGGTTCATTCTAAATACTGTAATTAGTCATATTTTTCAATTGACTTTTAACAGCTTATTTTTCATTATTTTTTGACATTTTAAATTTGTTTCCTACACTTTAAGACATGTTCAAAATGATGGTAACAATCACTTTGCATCAAAATAAAATATGTATCTTGAATAATGCCTTTGATGTGTTTCCTTAATTAATTCTTGCACGCTTAATTATCCTTATTGTTTGGAATTTCAAGTTCATTTCCTACACTTTGAAAGGTTTTAAAATTGTTGGCTGTATTCATTTTTCATTCAAATAAAATTTGTATATGGTACAAATTATGCAAGAAACGGGGTACACTCATGTATTAAGATTGAAGCTTGTATTTTTAGGGAAATTGGACTTCACCATTCAATTTTACACATTTTTAAATGTAGCAAATAAATTTAAAATTTCAAAAAATGATTAAAACCCAGCCGGTAAAAAGCAATTAGCAAAACATTAAAAAAACATGTCCAACGCAGTATTCAATAACAATATTTGGTTTTTATGCAAAATGATTGTTACCATCATTTTAATCATGTCTTAAAGTGTGGGAAATAAATTTAAAATGTCAAAAAATATTGAGAAATAACATGTAAAGAATTAATTGAAAAAAGTGTCTAGTTTCAGTATCAAAAATGAACCGTTGAGTTTTAAGAAAATTGGATGTTACGATTAAATTCTACACCCTTTTAAATGTAGGAAGAAACTTTAAAACTTCAAAAAAGCATAAAAAATAAGGTATACACATGTATGCAAACAATTAGGTGAAAAAGTGATGAATTAATTAAAAAAACGTGTCAAATGCAGCATTCAAGGTATAGTTTTCAATTTGGGGAAAAATGGTTGTTACCATAATTTTATACATGCCTTAAAGTGTAGGAAATAAATTTAAAATGTCAAAAAATGATGAAAATTAAGCTGTAAACAATTAAGTCAAAAAATGGGTCTAAATTCAGTATTAAAAATGAACCTTTGAGTTTTTAAAAAATTGGATTGCACCATTAAATTCTACGCTCATTGAAACCTAGGAAATAATTTTAAAATTTCAAAAAAGCATAAAAAATAAGGTACAAACATGTTTGCAAACAATTAATTGAGAAATGAGTGAAAAAAAATAATTGATAATTAAAATTCATTTTGATGCAAAATGGTTTCTACCATTAAATTCTACACCTTTGAAAGTGTAGGAAACAACTTTAAAAATAAAAAAAATAAAAACTCAAAAAATAACCCATAAAAAATTAATTACAAAACTGTGTTTAAACGCGGAAACCGCGGGTGCTGTGCCACAGCAAAACCGCGTGTAAACACAGAAAAACCATGTCTTTTTATTAAGGCCCTAAAAAAACCTGTCCAACGCAATATTCAATAAAATTATTTGGTTTTTATGTGAAATGATTGTTACCATCATCTTAACCATGTCTCAAAGTGTGGGAAATAAATTTAAAATGTCAAAAAATATTGAGGAATAACTTGTAAAGAGTTAGTTGAGAAAAATGTCAAATTTCAGTATTAAAAATGAAATGTTGATTTTTTTGGAAATTCAATTATACCATTAAATTCTAAGCACATTAAAACCCAGGAATTAAAAATAAAATTTCAAAAAAACATAAAAAATAAGGTAAAAACATTAATGCAAACAATTAATTGAACAAATGATTGAAAAAAAAATAATAATTCAAAGTCATTTTTATGGAAAATGGATTTTATCATTAAATTCTAGGCAAATTATAACCTTGCAAACAAATTTAAAATTTTGAAAAACTCAAAAAATACAGCCAAACCAAGAAATCTTGCGTCTTGGTTGGCAGAAGATTCAGAAAAAAAAATCCCGACTGCAGTTGGAATCTTTGGAAGAATACAGCAATTCTACAGGTTCCAACATACCTGCTGCTAGCACGGACAGGACTGCACCGGACCCAACCAGCCAGCCCTACGGGGGGCAGGGGCATGAGTGCCTTGCACATTGATAGCTCTCCTGTCCAAACTTTTGCTCAGGATCCCAATGGTCTTATTCTCATGACCTGGAGCTGAGGGAGAAAAAAGATAGTGATTTTACCCTGAAGTAACCCCTGTATGCAAATGGGCATACAGGGTGCTGTATTCTTCCAAATATTCCGACTGCAGTCGGTAGTTTTTTTTAAAAATCTTTTGCCAACCAAGACGCAAGCTTTCTTGGTTTGGCTGTAAGTGGTAAAAAATTAATTAAAAAACCGTGTGTAAACGTGGAATATGCATGTTCTGTGCTGCATCAAAACCGCGTGTAAATGCGGAAAAACTGTGTTTTTTTATTGATGCCCTAAATAAATACTTATCAATTTAAAGAATAAATATAATAATGTTTATTATTATGTAACCTGGAGGGGTTACAAACTCATGTAGACACACGGACTAGTGTCTCAGTGTCTGACACATACTTAGGTATGAACCACAATATTTTGAACAAAAGCAACCAGAAAGCACCCTCATGTTATTTGTGTATATAATAGCAATTACTTGTAAGATGCTCATTTGGTTTCAGGATTTTCTTGGAGGGATGGAATGAGCCCCCTCCTCATGAAGAGCTGGTGGGTTGATTTGAAATCAAGAGCATTCTTGTTCCCTCATCCAAGGGTTTTCCTCACTTTAATTCTCAAGTTCAATCTGACTGGATGGAAATCATTCCTTGGGACAAGTTTCTGATTTTTTTTTCAACTATGATCTTCCTCATGAAAATTGGTCTGACTTCATCACCCTTGATGTTTTCAAGAAATAAACACTTGAAAAATGGATTCCCCAAGGGCCCCACTCCACAAAGACAGTCCAAGAGTCCTTCCCAACCATTCAAGCAATTACCAAAGAGGGGACACTCCAGCTTCTGATGGTGAGGATGAGATTGATCCTAATGATATGTCAACAAATGGGGAATCCAAATTGGAAACCAATTCACATTTGGCTGTAACCACCAAGGTGAAAGGGAAATTTGCCAACAGTGGCATTGGGATCACTCTGAAAAAGGCTGGTTGTGGTTTCCCAACCTCTCTTCTTCAATCAATATTGACAGTGCATATCTAATGAAATTTCTATCTTATTTATAATCTGAAGAAATTTTGACCGGAGAGGCGGAGAATTTCCTGAGAAGAGAGAATTTTTTGGGCAACAAAAATGATTTGTGATGGAAAGACTCAAGGGTTGGAAAAGGAGTGTGAGAGCCAATGGATTTTATTTGCTAGTAGAGTCTATGTGTTAAATAGACTACGTACAACAAGTTCAATCTGTGGTTGAGAAATAATTGAATATCAAAATGAATCACAAGGATTTAGCATATGCTTGAAAGGATAATTGGAGTAAATGACAGTTTGATAAAGACTAGACCAGGGTTCAAAAACTACAAGGATTTCAGCATTAGACAACTTGACAAGATACCACACAAGGACCAACAAAAACAATGAGGAAATCATGTGTATTATTTATGAAATCATTATGGATTTAAAAGTGATTTAGATGAGTTATTTAGGGATGAGAAGAAGAGAGACAAAATTCCAACATAATCCTTGTAGATTGACTATGTGTGTTACCAAATTGCCAACTCTCGTGCAAAAAAAATCAGAGTTCAAGGTCTAGGCCCAAAGATTGGGTGATGATAGACCTGGAATTATTGGTGTTTATGGAATCCAATTAAATGGGAATCCTCCTGGCCAGCAAGGTGGGCCTTGTTGACCTTGTAGGACACCGGCCCGTGTCCTACAAGGATTGACATGTTTTTTTTTCAAACACTACATAGGCTATCCCATAGGACCCATGCCTGGGTCCTATGGGATAGCCCTGGTCCTAAACCCATATTAATATGGGTTTAGGACCTGCAAGCCAATCAAACTTGCTGCAGATTGGCGTGCGCAAGGGGGTTTGGCTTGCGCTTATCAACCCCCTGAAAGAACCAATGATTTATATTCACTGTAGTTAGACTGGCTTATAGCACCCCGGGTGGGTGGTGTTTTTTGGGTTTGGGTTGCTAGACACAGGATAGGAACCCTGTTCACCTCTTGTGGTGGATATGCTCTGATGCAGGGAAGTTTACCACCACCAAAATGGCAAAACCTCTCAGGCTAAAAAAATGAATTTGGCCCCAAATGCTCTGGAAGGTCTTGACACACCTCCAATGGAGGGGCTTGTGTCATGTTAGAATTTAGAAGGTTTGCTTGACTGAAATTTACAAGGTTGGAAAAACCTGCTGGCATTGAATGAGTTCAGCTTTCTTGGACAGTGCAAACACACAGTAAGCATTTCTTAAGTTGGACAGGTGTTTGGAATGGTACTTACTTAAAATAGTCAGGTCTCACAACTTGAAAAGTAGAATTGGATGGCACAGCCGTTAACTAAGGGGCCGTTCGGCCGCGCAGGTGAATCTGAGTTGAATATCGCAAGCCCCCGAAAGACTGAGATTCTCGGAAGATACAGAATCTCAAGGTCCGACATCCCAAATAACTTCCTGAATCCCAAGATGAGACCTTGAACAGCCTTCACGACGTGTATACAGAACAATAATTGTGTTTCACCTCCTCCAACGGGCTAGCGCAGGAAAGCGAGATGCAAGCTGACTGTGGGAATTTTATAACGGTTGGCGTCGCAGATAGTGATTCTTGGCGTTGACATACTGATCAGATATGGACGGCACAGCCGTTAACTAAGAAATCGACGCGATGAGGCCTTGCACCGTCTTCACAATATGTATACGGAACAATAATCGTGTTTCACCTGCTCCAACGGGCTACCGCAGGAAAGCGAAATGCGATCTGACTGCGAGAATTTTACTACGATTGGCATCGCAGATAGTGTTTCTTGGCGTCGACATACTGATCAGATAACGGCAGTTGTCGGATCAAAACGATGCGGTCAAATTTCACGTTTGAAGACATGTGAGCCTTGCATAGGGCTTCACATTCACCAGGAGGCTAAAAAGCATAAAATAAACACTTGCCAGTAGGAGTTTGCTCACTTACCCAACCCTCCTGTCAGTGGTCACTCGCCCCAAAAGATAAAATAAAATCAACAATAATAATATCGATAGCAATAATCAAACCTTGTCTATCTTGGTTTGAATGAATAGATAACTGGAACAAGTGTTTTAGAGATGTTTTTGAAATCAATCTTGATGACATTTTATGTCTTACATCAATATATATTTACAACTTCTCTTTCAGAGCCTATTATGAAGAGATCAATAAAAAGTTTTTCAATTGAGGGAAGTTCATATGTTAAAGGTAAGTCAATTTGGCAATTGCTTATTATTTCTTAATCAATTTTCTGATCTGGAAAACATGGGAAATTAAAACATCTGACTTACCCTTCATACTTGCAACCTTATGACAATGCAAAAAATGATCTCAAACCAGAAGAATATCCTTTTGATGGACCTTTATATGAATCCAAAGATCTAGTTTATTTCAGTGACGGATCATTGCACTCTGTTAGCTGGTACTGTACACCCCTTGAAATAATGTTTACTTCCAACAAACAGAATATGAGAATTCCATACGATCAGTTTATGAGGCTTGGTGGTAAGCTTCCCAATATATCTTGAGTCATCCAGTAAATATGTTGGCTGTTTCTGATATTTTTTTCTCATAGATTCAGATGGAATCAGTAAATCTGACAAAGATAAAATCAAAAAAACAATTCAATCTAATGATAAAAGTTACCAAGTTATCAACTTGAGTGCCAATGGTAGAAAAGTGACAGGCAAGTCTTGAAAAGATATCCCAGCTTATTTTTTCTTTTCAAATCAAGTGAATGTTCAAAACATTTGGAAAAATGACTAATTTTGTTGAATTTTGCACAAAATCAATCTCAAAAAAGATGAGGAAAAGAGAAAAATTTGGCCCAATGGGCGTCCATATATGAACGAAGAAATTCTGGATATTCCTTCTAGTAAGGATGGCAGTAAAATTGCCTACAGATACTTCCATACGACTGTTATGAGCAAAGAAGAGTAACATGACACAGTTGAGATTGACCATTTTTCTGGTAAGCTTAGAAATACCCTTATCATTCCTTGATTATTGATTTACTTCAAGCTGATTGAAGGTAAAAGTACATTTCAATTCAGTTGTTTCATAGAGTATGTATATAAATATGTCAATCAAAGCAATCATTTCTGAAAAGAGAATCCTTTCATGCCCTTCTTTTAGGCAAAAAAATATATTGTTGCAAAATTGTTTAGCATTGTACTTATGGTCATTATTACATTATGTAAATTGAATCCTTGGGAGTCGTTTTCCCAACTCCCCCAATTTATTATTAATTTTCTAGTCAAGATGTCTCTGCATGAGAAGAAGGCTGACAGTAGCAAACCCCCAAAAACACCTTGAATGAAGGACTTACCATCAAAACATGTGGGTCCCCCAGTTGTGATCTGAAGCCTCAAAAGCTGGATTTTCCTGCAACAAGTTAGACTTTTTACGTCTAAATCAAAAACTGGGAGGGCCCTATGTCCAATGGATGACTTCCCATATGGATTTAGAAACCTTGCAGAAATTGATTTACACCACCTCAATCTTAATTTTGGCATAAGGAAATTGTTTTTCATAATCTTTGTTGTGAAATGATGGCTGTCATGTGAGCTTTTCATTGTTTTTTAGAGCTTTAATTTAAGACTGAGGGGTTTATAAAAACACTCTGAATTGCAACAGGAAGGCTTCCAATGATATAGTTTTAGCGGCACTATGCTAAGACTATGCCGTGTTACACCCCTTTGTGTGAAAAACCCTGCTACAAGGTAGCAGACCCATAGTTTATCCTGTGGCTGTCAGAAAAAATGCTATACTTCCAAAAGCTAAGGGAAAATATCTGTAGTGTTAGCGTTATTCTGCTGCACTATTCTGCGCTGACACTAAAGTCAGTGTAGCTGACCCACCTTTTATTGGAGATACACATTGATTTTTAAAACCTGACCCTCATGTTCCATTTTCAAAATCTCAAGGTCATAGCTCTAGAGTGAGAGAAGGGGACATATCTGTTAGAATTCAATTCTTTGTCTTATCCCTCAAAAGAGGAGAGCATCAGGTGAGTTTATCACATGAGTGATAAACCTCCTGAAGAAAGAAATAATTTCATTGCACTGATCACAAAACGTGTGATTATCAGCAGAAATAGGCTGTTCAGTAAATGAACAAGAGAAAGGCACAATCATAGCTTATGCATCAAGTAGTGACATCATTGACATCACTAGCAAAGAGAAAAATAAAGATCATGATTGGTCATCGAGCTCTAGGTGAGTCTTGATGAGCTGAATCAAAAGAAAAAGAATAAGAACAAGATAACAATTGAGTTCTAACTCTTTGTTTAACAAATTATTATTAAAAATCTTTAGCTTCTACTCGCGCAAACTCATCACTCAAATCTTTCCACTGTTAGTTGGTGAGTAAAAGGAAGAGAATTAATTGCCTTTTTCTTATTATAGAAAAAGAGAAAAGTAAACTAACTAATCTATTGTTGATGATTCTTTATCAGACTCATCAAACAGACAGGATTAATTAGTCATTACTTGAAACAAGTTAGAGATGGTCCGGGATAATCCGTTGCGGATATCTGTTATCCGTTGCGGATATCTGTTATCTGCTGGCGGATACCCGCCAGCGGTGTGAGAACTCCTTTGGGATGGGTTGGCAGTCCTTGAGGGGGAAATAACAATAATGATATTTTACTAGATAATATTTACTGTTACGGGTGGTTTGAAAGACCTGCCCCTCTATTTACTACACAAGAATTCTGACAACAATTTAATTTATTGTTGTGGCGTAACTTTATGATGGAGAAAACTTATATGTAGTAGTCTCTATCAGACCTAGATCAGTATGTAATTCAAATACAAGATGGTTATACAACCTTTAGACGGTAAATATGAGTGTGAAAACAATCCTAGTGGAATATTTTATAGGGTTTTATGGTTTTACGGTGTTGCTGGATAAGTAGTGAAACTGTGGGTTGCTGTTGCTGTTGTTGGTGTTGTTGTTGTTGTTGCTGGTGTTGACTAGTCTTGAATGTTGATGACCACTTGAGCTTGCTGTCTGGGAGCTGGGCTGCTGAGTGATGATGATGATGATGACCACTGAGCTGGTTGTGAGGGGATGAACTGGCTGGGTGATGATGGGGGGAATTGGTGAAGGAGAGGCCTCCTTATATATTCTTTTCTGAGTTATTTTTGCTGGTGGTGATGCAGTTGAGGTGATTTTGCTGGTGGTGACCTTGTGGGTTGCACTGCCTCCTGCAAAGAGTACATGCATTGAGCTAATTAGGCTGTAGAAATAACTAAATATGGTCCTACTGTATGTAAGGGTTGCATAACTGCTTGCACTGCCTGGTGGAGGTTTTTCTGTCCACATGCTTTTATGCAAAGTCTGTGTAAATTCAATTAAGTTACTAAGTGGAGGCCTAATGGTTGCACGTATGCATGCAAGAATTGCATAACTGATCTGCACTACTGGTGGAGGCCTGCTGATGTAATAATTTATGTGTATGTACCTATAAATATGTGGTAAACTACTATTAAATAATAATTAATGACTAGTTATGGTATGGCTTTAAACTTTATATTGGATTATCTTCTAAACTAATGGAGATAGAGGTATAGTTGTAGTGAGTGACTATGGGTAAAATGGTATGTAGATTATGATTATGCAATAATATCTTCATATATGTAAGTGGTTTAGGTTATAAGGTAGGGGTTTTGGCAGTTTTGTTGCGCACAACAGCCTGGATTACCACAGCGGATGCGGATGCCCCCTTTTCCGTGAAATCCCAGCGGATATCTGGGTATGCCCAAGGATACCCAAGACTGGAAGGAGGAGATGGCCGGCTGGAAGGGTTTCCTTCCAGCCGGCGAGGTACATGTACCTTGCCCACTAGAAGGAAACCCTTCCAGTCAACCATGTACCTTGTCAACCGGAAGTAAATCCTTCCTGCCGGCTAGGTACACGTACCTCGCTGACTGGAAGGGTTTCCTTCCAGTCAAAGAGGTACATGCACCTCGCCAGCAAGAAAATCCTTCTGTCCAACAAGGTACATGTACCTCATCGACTGGAAGGAAACCCTTCCAGTCAGCGAGGTACGTGTACCTTGCCGGCTGTAAGGAAACCCTTCCAGACGGCTGCCTCGCCGCCAAGTTAAAGGGCGGGTATCCGCGCAGATATCCGCCAGCACCAGGGGATATCCGCCAGCGGTTGCGGTTGCGGATGCAGATATCAAATTCCGCTGAAATTGCAAGCGGATATCTGGTGTGGGATGCTTTATGGTATACCATATTGCTAAAATAAAAAATTTATTCATTTTCTCCTTCTTACTCTATTTTCTATATTTTTTCTTTAGTTATCACTCTATATTTCTACAGAATCAAGCTCTACGGCTCAAAATACCCTTACTAGCCAATTACAGTTTATTCATAAGCCCTACTCTCTCACACTCTACATCATTACTGGCACTGACACCCATCATTTACAACCCTCAAGGTTACATATACAGGATACATTGACAGGAAGCAACTGCACTCAACATACAGCAACATACTACATGTAGCTGCATGAGGCCTGCATGACCAGTACAAAAGTATACATGCAGGTGCAGCAGGTTGCAGCAAGGAGCATAAGTCCTGCATGACCAGTCCAAAAGTATACATGTAGGTACAGCCGCTTGCATAAGTGGCTTGTCACTGCCTAGCAACTGCATATTACATCATCAACAAAAATTACACAACCCTGCAGAACACACATCAAGTCCTGACCAATCACAAGCACTCATTCAGCCTGCAGCAAGCCTCACACAGGGCTGTACAATTCTAACCAATCACATTCAACCATTCAACATATGTATTCCTCATGTACCCAGTCACACTGCCTCATGTAGTGCCCCCCTTGGGGCCAAAATACCTCACTCTTGTCTATATAAGGAGGCTCTCCTACCCCCCAGTTGTATCTTTTTTCTTTTCCCCAGAAGAGTACTGCACCAGTGTTTCCCCTATAGCATTACAAACCTGCTCACCATTATTATTATACCCTATATATATTTTACTTACATACATACCAACCACCATTGAAATTAAAATTAGTACACACCTCTCAACACTTATATAATTACCCAACCCTTATTTTTGGAGCCCCTTCATCCAACTTGCACCTGGTTGAAGCCTTGGCCCTTTCAGTACATATTAATTACATATAAATACCTTACACAACATACCATCCACGGCTCAGACAACAGTTATCTTTTGATAACACTCCACTATCACTATATAAACCTGCCAATCTGAGATTGGTGGGCTTGTTTTAGTGTCTAGTGAACCAGGAAAGGCAGAGGCAACCTCACACATCCCTTTCCGCACTCAGCAAAAGATTCTCAGGAATACTTTTGAGCTTAACACCGGATCCAACGTGACCATCTCTAAAACAAGTAATTTATACTTATCATTCAAAGTAATGTATTTTCATTACTTTTGTGCTAAGGAAACATTACACTCTAGGAGAAAAGACTAACATTGGAATTATCTTCCAATAATTTATTCAGCTGTTATAATTATCTTCATCTAAATAATAAATTAGTCTACCCAAAGGCATTTTCTATTATTAAGTATTATCTCTAGGACTATCAGATCAGTCCTGTCTTCAGGTACTGCTCTGTTTTCCATTTTGTCAATAATATCAATTGTATTTATTTAAAAAGAATATATACTTATAAAGAAATGAAACTTTCTTCAGTTCCAAAATCTTTCAATATCTACAAACTTGTCTTGTCACAATGTGACAGAATTGACAGTTGAAAATCCCATGGTTGGACAGTGTGTGATTAGTTCTGCATCTCAGACTCACTGGGGTGCTGGAGACAACTCCCAAGGGATGTTTGGCAACAGTTGTTGTGAGATGTTGCACTAACTCCCTTATAATAAGGTTCTTGCTGTGTGGATAGACCAACAATTTTGTTACTAGCAAGCTCTACTTGCAATAAATTGGATCTAAAGCAGATGATGTTGAAATGAATGATTGAAATGTAACCATATCTGAAGTTGCAATAACTATTTGAAAAAATATTCACTTAAATTTCAAATCAGCACATTTATATGTATCCAACATGCTTCAAAATAGTATTGGGTGGCGGGGACCATAAACAGGGTCTGAGAGTTTGTTGAGGGCCGTTTCAATGAGGCTTGAAACCGCCTTGAAAAGTATATGGAATGGTTGTGTTTTATGGTCACCTATAAATTAGAGATGGTCATTTTGCATCCGGATATCCGCGCAGATCCGGATATCCTGCTCATAATTTCAGTGGAATTAGGCAATTCTGCTGAAATTAAGAGCGGATATCCGGATCTGCGCGGATATGCGGATGCAAATTGACCATCTCTACTATAAATCCAATGTCACAGTGGCACATATCAGGCAACTGTAACAGTTTTACTGCAGTTGACTTAAGTATTATCTAGAATGAAAAAGACATCTACTCAAACTGAGTCATTTTCATCAGCTTTTTTGAAATGTTGTCCAAAAATGACAAGTAATGGTAGCTTGTCCCCCATCCAAAAAACTAGAACTTGGCAAGTTAGGGTTCACTGCTTTTAAAGAGGGAATTGGAAAAATGATTCCCAATATTTGGGAGAACAACTCACAACCTTTGGGGAGACTTTCTCAGGGCCATCAAGGGATGTTCCTGGGACCATCCTGGTAGCTATCTTCCCAATTCCCCTGGGAGTCTTTTTCATTTGAGTTTTGGGGTTGGCGGAATAAATCAGTCTGCCAACTTGGGATTCATTGTGTGAACACCCTCCTGATGAGAATGCTAATTACCTGCTCATTGAGAGGACTTGCCTCTTGTCAAGTGTTGACCTGCTACCTCTTGCCAAGTGGGCCATTGACCTACATGGAAAGAGGAAAGACTGTGAGCCTGGGTCTCAAAAGTGACTGCAGGACACAAGGATTGGGGGGGCAATTCTAGATGTATTTCAGATGGATAGGGAAATACAACTAGAAGGAGAGAAAAAGAACAAAAAAAATGAGAAATAATTTTATTGTTTATTTATTTTATGATCAAGTTTTTATGCAGTCTTACATTCCTTAGAGGATGGCTGTTATTAAGTGGAATTAATCTACGCCTCCTAATCAAATGAAACTGAAAAGGGTACTTGGTATTGAATATATGTCAATCCAACCTCAATTTTTTAGATCTATGATCAAGGTTCTTTAAAGGGAAACCTATGTGGTTTTCAGTTATACCACCAAACAGAGAATAATGATGATTTGATTTGATTTGATGATGATTAAGGCAGAGGTTGAGTAGAAACAGAATGATGTGATCATTCAGAGAGACAGAGAAAGAACTTAGCAGAAAGATGCAAGCTGAACTTGTGGAGTGACTTACTTATTGGTGATCCTGACACGATGAGTGGGAAGATTCCAATAGTCAAGGGACTCCAAACGATAACACGGCGATGATGCGGCGGTGAAGTATCCAAGTTGAGGTTGGTGATTTCTGGTCTGAGTTGGTTCTGGGTGGGTCTGAAGCTTGAAGATCCTGAAAATGAAAACTCAGTATCCTCTGAGAGAATTTTCAGAGTTGGATTATACATAATCACAAAATGTATATGTGGTAGAGAGTTGGAATTCTAACTTGGTTGATATTTCACAAGGTACGGTGAAATATTACAAAGTCTATGAAGGAGAAGAGTAGTGTAAAAGTGTGTAGTGGTGACTAAGGTTAAAATGACATGAGGAATTCATTCTGAAGTCAGAATGTAATAAAATTAAGAGATAAAAAAGTCATAGTACAACATAGCTGAAAAGGAGGACTTAAGCAGTCTTTTGGCCAGCTTGGCTGGCTCTAAGGCTGACAAAGACCTCTTGCCAAGAAGGCCATTGACCTACTGAGGGAGAGGTCTTGTCTCTTGTCAAGTAGGCCGTTGAACTGCTTGACAAGAGGGTGTTCCTGCCACAACTTCTGATTTGGCAGACCGTTTTAGTCTGCAGACTCCCAACATCAAATGAAAAATAATAATAATAAAAACGGCTACCATCCCCCTTAGGGGAATTGGGCAGAAGACTGCCAGGACAGTGCCAGGACTGTTAGGAGATGGTCCTAAGTAGAGATTGTTCCATGGTACCTAGTACTGCTTGGCATGTACCGCCGGCACCTGCCGCTCACCTGCCCGGCTGTGCCAGGTGCCTGTTTTTGGGCAAAAAACGGGTGGTACCCGGGTACTACCCCCACAATAACTCTTGACCGGAAGGGTTTCATTCCAGTTGGTGAGATACATGGACCTCATTGTAGAGATGGCCCCGGTGCATCTGGATATCCACCTGATTTTTGCGGGGAAATCGGCATCTAAACCCGCATCCGCAGCCGCTGGCGCTGGCGGGTATCCGAGGATACCCGCCCTTTAAAAGGTTGGCGAGGCAGTTCCTTCCAGTCGGCAGTCAGCAAGGTACATGTACCTTGCCGACAGGGTGCATGTACCTTGCCAACAAGGTGCATGTACCTCTTGCCGGCTGGAAGGGTTTCCTTCCATGACTTCTCCCAGAGGTTGGGGGTCATTTTTCCAAGTCCCTTTCAAGAAAGAAAGAGTCTAGCAAGTTTGCTCATGATCAGCAGACTGGAGAACAGAAATGTAAGTGGTTTTTGGCCTGTCTTCCCTGAAAATTTTTGCCACTGCTTACAAGAAAAATCTGATGGGGGGCTGTATTTCCCACACATCACCAGTTACATACTAAGTTACATATGATAATTTCCTTGCCACATTCCTGAGGGTTGCATGCTAATTTCTCCCAAAATGAACTGGATGTTCCGTTGTTTGATGGAAGGCACTATCAGGCTTTAGATAAATAGATGCTAGATTCTTACATGGACCTACCTATATCAGGGCCCATTCAGGCTCCCCCTCCCTGAAAGTTCTTTCACTTCTACAAAGTGTTGACTTGGGATCATAAAGAAACTAGGCAAAATTGCTGAGAACCAGAAATGGCATATGATGAAGCTAATGTCAATCAGGTATTGCAGCTTGAAATGATATGATCAGCAGTGGGCCAGTTACACTAACTGTAGTGTTAGTGTAGCATAGTGTAACAGAATTCCGCTAAACTTTAGCGTAGCGTAGCAGAATTCTGCCACATCTGCACTAACACTACAGGACCCTGGCAAGCCCTGACCAAGCCGGCTTATGTGGCATGTAGCAAAATGTTTTTTTTTTTTGGAAAATGATACTTATGTAATCAACCGGATATGTAGCGGATTGGTTTTTTTTCTCACCAAGCATACATATGCACTTTGTATCCTTTTGGGCATTTTGAACTAAAGACTGAGCTTTTTGCTCTTTCAGATGAGAAAAAACCCCTGATTTGAGGGGTTGTGGGTTTGATTTCCCAATGAAATACTTTTTTCCGCCAAATTTTTGTGTTTATGCAAAGAATGTTACTGATGTTGTCCGTAGCAAAATGGAATTTTTCAGAAAAACCTGATTTCAGCACTTATCCAAAATCCGTTTTTCCCTGGATTTGCATAAGTCGGCGTGGTCAGGGCTTGCCAGGGTCCTAACACTACGCACATAGGCCCCCAAAAAGGGCCCACTATGCTACCCCAACACGCTGGTTAGCAGTTTTTTGGCCCTGTAGTGCAGCGTAGTGTAGCAAAAATCCACTAAAAAACACACTAACACTACACACTTTTGGCACAAAAAAAGCGCAGCTACACTACTCTTTTTGGGCCAAAAGTGTAGCATAGCGGCCCACCACTGATATGATTGTATGCATGAAGAGGACCATTTAACTTTTTGCTTTCTCAGGTTCTGAATCATGAGGTGTATCTTGTTCTGTTTGACTACCTCTATTAATAACAACAGGTGCTTGAATGCACAATCCTAATCGAGTAGAATCACCAACTTCAGTTGAAGATAAAATGCCATGAGCATACTGTTGAGCTCGGAAGATCATCAGACCAATCGTATCTGGTGGAAAACTGATAGCTTGCTTGATGTCAGGAAATACAAATTGTCCATTGTCGACCCGATGACCTTCGGATTCAAGCGCAATTTTGCCGGTGGATCTGAAGGTAGGGATCATCATTGCAAAGGACAATGGTGGGTCCGACTCTTCTTCATTATCCACCTGATAATCGGTGTGGAAGCCGTTGGAAGGGAAGGCTAGACTGGACACTAATCCATCGGAGGCTAGCTTCTTCATCTTTGCCCGAGTATTCGCGGCAGCCAGGTTGCCGAGTGTGGAGAAGATGTCCCAGAGAATTCCTCCCGCTTTTTTAGAAGCTTCCATCAGTTTGGAGTAAGCTTCTTGATTTTTTCGGATGGATTCTTCATTCCGATATTGAGGAAGAATTTCTAGCCGGGTCAGGTCCTTAGACCAACCGATTGCTGACGATATATCATCACAGGAAAGACCTTCCGAAATAGCCGGTGAGACAAACTGCTTGCAATCGTGAATGAAGGCGCAGAGGAAGTCGAGATCTTCCCTTTGTGTTTGTTCTAAATTCGGGATCTTCAGGATTTCGAACACACCGATGATTTGCTCATTTGCGGAGTTGTAAATCTTGCCATAATCTCGATTGGCGTGATGAAATTTTTCTTCGACTAGTTTCAAGGCGGTCGCATTTTCTTCTTCAGTTGGAGCTCGAGGGGTCAAAGGATGATGTGCTGGTTTTTGGATCTTTTCGTCCGGTCGGTTTTGAGAATTTTCTTTAAACTCCTGTTCTTCTTTCATTCTTTTCTCTTTTTCAATCGCAAGTTCCTTCGAGATTTCAGGGAATAAGTCGAACTTCAACACGCGTTTTCCACGGATCAGGACTCCACCAGGCATAGTCTGATCGGATATCAACGTTTCGAATTCATTGTCTCGGGACGTCTTCCTTCTTTTTTGCCTCGCTTTATTCTTCGATGATCGCATGTAGGCCTTTCGTGTTCTAGAATCAACGTAGGTCGTGCCATTCAGGGAGAAGTCGTAATCAACATTCCACAATGAGATTATTTGTAAAATTGCCTACTCGGTCATGTTGCGTTTTTTCTTGGCAGGCGGCTCTCCGTTTTCCTCGGCGGAAGCATTCAGTTCTCCTTCGTTTGTCTCGGCGGACGGCTTGGTTTCTAGTTCGTGGCTCACGGCCGGGAGCTTTGTTTCTGGTTCCTCGTTCTTGATTGCTTTGGACGCGTTGGTATCGGCGGAACGGTTCGATTCTGGTTCATAATCACTAGGTGTGGTGGAAGTCATTGCTTCCAGCCCTCTTGCTTGTGCCGGTTGACGGACACGATGGAAGGCAGAGAGTGGTTGTACATCCAGAATTTGAATGTCGGGATCACCTGGCCGGGCCCACCGGGGCTTGAGCGGTCGGCCTCGGGGAGTGGGACGTCGCTGAGTGGTCGGCTGATCGGGGGCCCCGGAGTCCGGACGGGGACCCCAGCAGTTTGAGCAAGCCGCTCCTCTTTCGAGCCTCCTCAGCCGATCGCAAACCTCACACACTCTCTCTCTCTCTCTCATGGCGTCTTCAACCGACCTAATCGAACACGAGACAATGCCTTCGGCAGGAGAAGAAAAACCAGCAAAGAAATCCAGAAAGCGAATGAGGAAATTCGAGTAAGTGCTTCTGTATTTTCAACGGAAATTAAGACGGACCATGTTGCTAGTCGCTGATTCCCGTTCTACGCGTTTTTCCTTTCCTCATTTCCTCCATGGGTTGGTCTGGATCACAAATGGGTCTTTAGGGGAGAAATGATGCTTGATTCTAGGCGATTTTCAATAATGAAGGCGAGAAAAAGAGATTCCGCACAGGATCATGAATTCAAAACATCGATATCAACCCTCACGGTATCTTCAGCATCTCGTATTTCCGCCAAATTCAAGAAACTTGAACTGTTTCCTGAAATCTCAAAGGATGTCGTGAAGGTAAATCGATTGGAAAGAGATCAACGGTACAACGAAGAAGTGAGAAAGAATCCTGACAAGCAGATTCAAAAACAGACCCCTCAACCGATAATCCCTCGTGCTCCAACAGAAGAAGAGCAGTCTTTGGCCAAAACACAAGTCGAAGGGAACTTCATCAATCGGTCTCATGGTTATGTCAAGGTCTTCAATGCCAAAACCTACCAAGTAATTTGCGTGGCGGAATTCCTCAAGATCCCGGACTTGAGTCCACAGAAGCGGGAAGACTTCGACTACCTATGTGCCTTCTTTCATGACTGCAAACAATTTGTTTCGCCTGATGCATTGGAAGCTCTCTCCTCCGGGGATATTGCATCGATGATTGGGTGGTCGAGGAACCTAAGGCGCTTGGAAATCCTTGATGCATATCGCAACGACGAAGAGATCGAAACGAACAAACAGGCTTACTCAGAACTCATGGAGAGATCTGAGAGAGCAGGATCGGTTCTCTGGGAGACCTTTTTTGAATTTGGAAGTGTTGCGGCTGAGAAGACTCGAAAACGGATGGAACAACTCAACAGCAGATCGTCTACCAACAACATATTCGCAGCAAGTCTAAATAACAACTCCAATGGATCAACGGCAACTCTAGGCTTTCCTACGAACAATTTTTATCAAGATCTTCTCCCCAACCAAGGCAACGTTTCCGACGCGCCTCTGAGCTTCGCGATGATGATACCGACCTTCAAGTCGACGGGGAAGATCGGATTGCAAGCTGAAGGTCATCGAGTAGACCATGGTCAATTCGTCTTCCCCGATATTAAGCTGTCAATTCAATTCGCACCCGACACTATTTGTAGAATTATCTTCCGCGATCGAGAGTATAACCATGGTACTATCCCCAAAACTGAGGTTGGAGATTCAACTCGGCTGGGGGTCTGCATACGTGCTCCGATGCCAATCAGTGACTGACTCTGGTGATCAATCCAAAGATGATGAAGAAACTAGCCAATTTGTCAATCCTTAGCCTCATGCTGCATTGGTGAAATAAGTTTCCACACTCGACTACTCTCTCTGACCTTCTAAAAAGCATCTCTCGTTTTATTTAAATCCAGAAGTCAACAATTTCAAAACTGTGGGTGCAATCAAAGCTTGCTCTGTATCTTGACGTGTTTTTTTTTCTTCTTTCCCTGGAGGGATGTGTGTCCATTAACACCCCTTTTCTTGACCCACCCCATTCTGAAGCATATAGGAAACAGTCATTCACACTTACATATGAATTTGTAACATGGTGCAACATGAAGATGATTTACTGGAGCCATGAAAATTTGCAGCAAGGCAAACATTGGTTCCAACATCCCATTGTTAGACTTTCCAACCTCAATTCCTTGATATACAGTGCCTGATCTAACTTAACAATACTTTTTTTTTGAATTCTGATACGATGTATTTTTTAGTCATGGATTGACCTTTGCTACGGGCAAGTGACACTGAGGAAATAAATTCTCCCGATATAGCAAAATCAAAATGCAACACACTTCAAGCTTACTTTGAAAAGGTGTGGCCGACTTCCGAGATGACTGCTTGGATAAGTAAATTCACCAATCCCCTGTGGTCAGACTTTGTTTGACGGGTTCGGCAGCTAAGAACTGTCAGACTCCGATAGCTATGTCTTGACTCTGAGCAGGTAACATAGTTTTGCCGTGAGGCATGAAACACCAATGTTGCCGCTGATCAAAGCCAAACGCCAGCATTTACTTTTGGAGGTTTGCTTGACTGAAAGCTTCACACTTCGTTGGCAAAACCTGCCAGCATGTCATGATTGCAGCTTTCTTGCAGAATGCGATCATGGAGTAACCATTTCCAAAGTTAAAGCAACTGTTTGAAACGATCTTGACTTAAAACTGGTTTATTTAGTGTCTTGCAAAGTAGGTTTGGACGGCATAGCCGTGAACTGAGAGACCGTCGCAATGTGAGGCTTTGTACAGCTTTGTACCGACAAAACAAATGTGTTTCACCTCCTTCAACGCGCTGGCGCAGGAAAGCAAGAGGCGAGCCAACTTGATGGCAGTTGTCGGGTCAAGATGATACGTTTAGCTTCACCAATACAAACTCTGAAATACATAACAGGGTCCTTTCACCAGAAGGCTATAAGATGCACGCTGCCAGCAGCAGATTGATCTCTCCCCCACCCCCCTCCGCGCCACCGACCCTCCAAAAAGCCAGCAAACAAATAAATAATAATACCTCGTCCATCTCAATTGTGAGGAATATATTATTGGAAAAAGCATTATAAACATGTTGTTGAAATCACTCTGCATGGCAGTTTATGCCTTAAATCACTGTATGTTTTCATCTTCACTGGCAAAGCCTGTTATGAAGAGATCAATCGAAAGGTTTGGGATGGAGGGAAGTTCGTCTGTTGAAGGTAAGTCTGTTTTCCAGCGGACTTCTAAATGGATTAAAAACGGATTTTTTTTCCGGTTGAATATGATTTCTTGACTTCCTTTTTGATCCGGGAAACATGGGCATTTACAAAATTTGACCTACCCTTTGTACGTGCAACATGATGCCATTGCAAAAAACCAAATTCAACCAAGCAGAATCTCCTTTTCACGGACCTTTATATGAATCCAATGAGTACCATAACATCAATGGGGATCTGCATATTGTTAGCTGGTACTGTACACCCCCTGAAATAACATTCCACTTCAATGGAAAAGATAGGAAAGTTACATACCATGAGTTTTTAATGCTTGGTGGTAAGTTGTCCAATTTTCTTGAGTCGTGAATCCAGCAAATATGTTTTTTTCAATTCTGATTACCATAATTGGCTTTTTGCTTTTATAGACTCAGATGGGATAAGTAAATCTGACAAACAGGCAATGACAAATGCATTGATATCCAAAGAGCAAGGTTCCAAAGTTATTGGTATGAGTCAAATTGGAAATCAACCAATCTCAGGTGAGTCTTGAAATATGAATGGTTGAAATACTCAAAAAAATGACAAGTACTTTTGTTTGAATTTCCACAAAATCAATATCAAAAAAGCCGAGGAAAAGAATAGAAAATGGCCCAATGGGCCTCCACGCTTTATCAAGACAACAGATATGATTCATTCTAATACAGATGGCAGAAAAATTGTTTACAGATACTTCCGTACAACTCCTGTTGCAGAGAAAATTTAATTAAGATGTAGCCACTTGAGGTTTGAACTTGGCCATTTTCTGGTAAGCTTGAAAAGAACCTCTGTGTCATTCCTTGATTATTGATTTATTTTGAACTAATTGAGAGTAATCATTGTTTTCAATTCCAGCCTTTCATAAAGTATGGATAATCCATGAATCAAAGCAATTCTTCCATGGCAGAGAATCCATTCACCTCCTTATTTTTAGGTGACAATTTTGTATTGTTACAATTTACAAAATTGCATGGTCTCTTGTAGTCATTTTTGGATTGTGTCTCACATGAGAGTATCAGTTATTTTCCTTTTACTGCGCAATCACTGTTTCATGTTATGTCAGCTTGTTATTGAATTTTCACTCTAAATCCAAGACTAGTCAAATTATGGAAGCATCTCATGTTAGACAACATTTATTCTAAAATTGAATATTTGTGTGGCTCAAGCTTCCTCTGATATTTGGGATGATGATACCCAAATTCAATACAACCAAAGGAATTGAACTGGAACCTGAATGTTTTCACGTATATTGTGGTAAATTCACCTGTCTGACATGAAGGTTTCAATCCAATTACCTCCCAATTCTGTTATCCCCTTCCCCAATTCTGGTTAGAGATGGTCGCGGATAATCCGCTGCGGATATCCGTTATCCGCTGGCAGATACCTGCCGGTACCAACAGATACCTGCCAGGGGGTGCGGATGGCCCCTTTTCCCCCAAATCCTGGCAGATATCCGGGTATCCCCAGGGATACCCGGTGCCAAGAGAGGCCACACCGCTGGGAGGAATCCCTCCTGGCAAGCTTGCAGTAAATCAAACTGAGAAATGTGCACTTTCTTTGGTCGTTTGAAAGAGCCTAAAAACATGCCTCAAAAAAGTTGGATCAGAGATGTTGAGGAACAGCTGTCTGACCAATGTAAGTGCTCACCAGGATAGCAGAATTGGGAGGTGCATGTTGAAGGGTTCATGTCTAGTAGATTAGTTATCCCTGGCATCTTGGTGGTGGAATTTTTCTTGGCGAGTGAAGTGCCGGCCAACTTGACTGAGTAAATTTTGACAGTTTCTTTTGCCTGAGTGCCGGGGCAGCCCATCTGACACCTTTCAAGAAGCACCATGCTATTGTCATCATGGATGCTTTTAAGTCTCATGAGTCTCAATAAAGCTGAAAGTACAGGTGAGTTACGTTGGTTCAGCTTTTCTTATCCCAGTGATTTTTGAATGGAAGCCAATGTGAAAAAAGAACATGATCAGGCTCTGGAGCACTTACTATCGCTTCGAGCGGACAGCAACTTGGCCTTGCTGAGGTATGAAGCCGCTATTGCCAGAGCAATGGCAAAATGAACCATGTGCAAGAACATTGCGAGATAAGTTGCTGATATCAAGTGAGGGAGAAGAATTGGTCGGGTGATTTTATTGAGCTGCACAAAAAGGAAGATTGGAAATTAGGAGTCGATAAGAGTGGGAAGGCAGGGCCGGGAGGCTTATATGTGTTATTAATTGTGCAGCAAGCTTGGTACAACTGACCGACACTGTGTGTACTAGCCTGCCGGGAGGGATTCCTCCCAACAAGCTGGGATAAATACCAGCTCATTGGAAGGGATCCCTTCCAACGAGCTGGTATGTACACCAGCTCATTGGAAGGGATCCCTTCCAATGAGCTGGTATGTACACCAGCTCGTTGGAAGGAATCCCTTCCGATGAGCTGGTATACATAGTAGCGCGTAGGAAGAGATCGCTTGCTACAAGCTGGAAAATATATCCAGAGCGTTGCGAGGAAGCCCTCCCAGTCGGATAGAACACACAGTGCCAGTCCAGCTGTATTGAGCTGTGCAGCACAAATTAACAACA